AATGATGCAACATAAAGTACAATCATGAAAAACTGACGTTTTATATGTTATTTTAATCTCTCAACTTGCAATCATTATTGCTGTCAAGATGAATTATTTTAGTAAGTGCCCATTTCATATCCCACACTTTATCATCTACTGCACAACATCAGTCCAGTTGTTGGCAGTTTGTTCCATAAGATAACAGATCACAAATAGCAGATATGTTGAAACTGTGTGCAGTCTTTCTGGCATATATTCATCATCATTTATGTCATGTTGTGTGATTTGCGTTGTGAAATGAAGATAGACTGGCCAGAAAAGCCCAAATCTTGTTAATTTTTAATAGATGTTTCACGTGACTCTCGATCTACTGATAAAGAAGAGCTCTCTGCCAGACTGCACCAGAAGACATTAATGGTCAGTATGGACCTCCACTGAAATGTGCTGAATGTTTTATATTAGTTATGAGGACTCAACTTGAAGTGACAGTTGGAATTAATGACGTTAAGGATCCATTTTTGATAATCCACACCCACGCATACCCATAAAGCTCAGTACCAGAACCGACCTTGTTCTGTCATTATATCTGAGTCAAAGCCGCACCTGCTCACACCCATTAAAAAAAGTCCCTCAACCCAACCCCCGTGATTAAACACAGACAGAATACAGTCCCTCACATTAAGGTGGGTTCTCCGTCCTTGAATTCCAAATCCAGCAGAGGAGACGTCTCTTTGACTGGATGGTGAAAACATTCAATCACTGCCAGGTTAGGAAACATTTTAGCATGCTCCTTCCACCACCATCAAACCTCCAGAGGATCCTCTTTAGGTGTCTTGAACTCCATGTAGGCTGCCACCTCTTCCTTTGGCTGCAATTTTTCATGGCTGGAGTCCTCCACTTCGGTGACCAATTTGATGACAGTGTCAATGGTTTGACCTGTGTCACTGACTTTCACAGTAAAAGGATTTGTGGCTTGGTAATAGTGATTAAGATATCAAAATATTACACACATACTGCACATCTTTTTACTTTGTTCCATTCTGAAAAAGATAAAATATTTTTTTGTTGTCACTCTCTGTCTGCTTGTGTTGTTCATTTTAATCTGTGTCCGTACCCATGAATTTATATTTATACATATTACTACCTGTTGCACAGCTTTGTGCGGGTTACATGTTGGATTCCCCCAGTTACCCGACCCTGTTCTGGACTTTGCTATAAGGTATGCCAGAAAAAGATTTAGTATGTCCCAGATGTAGGATGTCAAACGCAGGATGCCAAAAGCACCAAGATGTTCTACTTCGTCAGGTCGGATTTTGCAGTATGTAAGCCAGCATGCTTTTCTGACTATTCTGACCCACAATCCACTGGTGCAGGACTCTGGTCCCAGGTGTCCTAACCTAAACCTGTGATGTCTCACAGCTTGGCATTGTTTTCATTTGAATTCAACACAAACAGAAGCTAAACCAAAAGAGATGATGATTATTAGTCAATGTCCGTCACATTCTCAACAATGGAGTTCCTTGTGGTCGGTGGTGGTGGTGCGGCTCTGTCCCATTCAGTAGGACTCCCCTCCTCCTGATTACGGCCTTATTCTGTTTACAAGGTCTTCCACTTAGCAATCAGTTGTGTTGCGTTCAAATAGAACTCATGAGCTGGTGTTTATGACATTGGAAGTCGTGAACTCAGAGTTAATTCCAATAACAACATCATTAATAACACAGGAGGGGAGCGTTCATATTTGCTTCTTTTGTGAACACAGTAAACATGACCCCATTTCAACATAGCAATGGTCTGTCCCAGTACCCACACTTCTCGTCTACACTACTGATGAAAGAACGGATCATAAATCACAGTGAAGTTAAAATCAAATCAAATCAAATTAAATCAACTTTATTTATATGGCACTTGTCATTCGATAGTAACACAAAGTGCCTCACAGAGGTTAAAAACAACAAAGAACCAAAACAGAAAACAAAAAAGGAAAGAGAAAACCCAACCCTCCCACCTCACATAGAGATACATAAGTATACACATACGCACACACACACACACACACACACACACACACATACACCCACACCCACACACACTAGCTATCACTAAAGAGACATGGCCAAGCACCGGGACCTGAGGCGAGGAAAAAGCCACCTCTGGGGGCCGTCCACACTGAGAGGACCCACGGACCACGGCCACAGGGAGCGCCGCCGTAGAGACCACCCCGACCCGGGCAGACAGGAGGCTCCACACCGAGGTGCAGTGCCCTTCAGCCACCCAGGTCAGAGCTGTCCACGGGACAGCACCCCCATCGGTAGACCAGGAACAACTCTGTGTGGTAGACCCCCATGAGGAAACACTGGAGCTAAAAACGGACTAAAACAGTAGGATAGGATAAAAGGTATAAAATGAACCAAATAAACAAAAAGCTATTTAGCTCATAAAATTAAGTTAATAGCTAGGTAAGAATGATCTAAAACAGAGACATAAAATGCATCTAAACTAAAACCTATAACTAAAATAACAGAAGATAAAGGTTAAATGAGATAAGAACGTAAAAAGAAGGGTAAGAGCATTTTTTGAAAAACAAAAACAAAAACAAATAGATAAATCAGTTAAAAGCCTGATAAAAGGAATTTAAAATAGATAAATAAAGAGATCAGTTAAAAGCCTGATTAAAAAGATGAGTCTTGAGCCTCTTTTTAAAAACATCAACAGTCTCTGCAGCCCTGAGGTTCTCCGGCAGGCTGTTCCACAATCAGGGGCTATAATAACTAAATGCCGCCTCCCCGTGTGTTTTAGTCCTAACTTGTGGTATGGTTAAAAGGCCTGTGCCGGAGGACCTCAGGGTACGCGAGGGTTGATATGGTAAAAGCAGGTCAGATAAATAAGAAGGCCCAAGACCGTTAAGACATTTAAAAACTAATAAAAGAACCTTAAAATCGATCCTGAAGCGCACAGGGAGCCAATGCAGCAATTTTAAAACTGGTGTAATGTGCTCCCACCCTCTGGTTCTTGTCAGCACTTGTGCAGCTGAATTCTGTAATAACTGTAGATTTGAGATACTTTTTTGGGAAGACCAGTGAGCAGGGCATTACAATAATCTAACCTACAGGAGATAAAAACATGCATCAGCACCTCCGTGCTGGCCTGAGAGAGAAACGGGCGGACTCTGGCTATATTCTTCAGGTGATAGAAACCTACCTTTGTTATGTTTTTAATATGTGGAAAAAAACAGAGCTCAGAGTCAAAAATCACACCCAGATTTTTCACAGATTGTTTTAGTTTAAAATCCTGTAGTTTTGGTAAAAGTTTCTCTCTCTGGCCCTCAGGACCAATTACTAAAACCTCTGTTTTGTCCTTGTTGAGCTGCAGGAAATTCGCTGCCATCCATGACTTTATGTCTAAAATGCAGTTAAAAAGGGTATCAATTGGCCCTGCGTCATCAGGAGACACGGCGATGTACAGTTGCGTATCATCAGCATAAAAGCTCAGGTAAAAGCAATGATCCAGGTGTGTTGACAGTTAAAATCTGTTGAGATAAAAGACTGGATCTGATGTCACTGATTTTACTTCTGAAGTGGTCTGCAAAGTCCTCACAAAGGGCATTGGTTGTTGTCTTAGGTGATCTGTTAAAATTACTGTTTGTTAAAATATCAATTGTGGAGAAGAGGAATTTGGGATTGTTTTTATTGTCAGAGATTAGTTTTTTGAAGTTGGAAATTCTTGCCTGTTTGACTGCGTTATTGTAGGTTTTGAGATGTTGACGTATTATTTCGTAGTGGACTGTCAGTTTTGATTTTCTCCATCTCCTCTCAGCACTCCTGCAGTATCTTTTCAGTTGTTTGATTTCCTGATTTCTCCACAGGGGTGTAAGTTTTGTTCTAATTGTTTTGATTAAAAGTGGAGCCACTGAGTCCAGCGTTGACTTGAGTTTGTTGTTAAAATTGTCCACAATAAAATCACAGGTTGCTGGTAAAATCTCTGCAGGAGTGCTCTATAAAATCTGGATAAAATTTACAGCCACTTCAGAAGTTAGGTAGCGTTTCCTCACTGTTCTCAGCGGGGCCTCCTGTTGGTTAAAACTGGTGATGTTAAAAAACACACAAAAGTGGTCGGACACAGCCAGATCCACAACAGAGGACACACCCACGGACAGGCCATAGGTTATGACCAGGTCCAGGGTGCGCCCTCTGCTGTGGGTCGGCTGCATGATATGTTGTTTAAAATCCAAAGGCATGATGCTCAAATGATGTGTAACTGCTAAAAGAAACTTCATTTGAGAACATTATGGTTTTTGCTATTGATGCGGTTCCGCCTCCTCTTTTACCTCCCCTAATAGAATATAAAAAGTTAAAATGTGGTGGGGAAGCCTTGGTGAAAACAGCAGGTTTCTGTGAGGAGAATACTGTCTAGGTTGTTGTCTAAAATTAAATCATTTATGATAAAAGATTTGTTTAAAAGGGAGCGCACGTTCAGCACTGCCATTTTAATGTTTGTGCTGAACGTGCGCTCATCATGATGTTTCAAAGGGATGTTAAAAACACGGTTAGGTCTAAAAACATTCCTGGGTTTCAACTTTCTCAGTGTAATGATGGTCTTTATGGTGTGAATGTCCTGTGTTTCCGGTTACAGAGAAGGTGCTACTGAGGGAGAAGTGTGTGTGGTGCAACGTGTAGTGGAGGAGGGTGGAGGTGGGTGAGGGGTGGAGGGTCTGCGTGTGTGAACAGTGAGTCAGGAGGTGGCTGTGGTGCAGGATCGGACGGTCAGGTCAGTGTTAACTGATAAAAGCCGTGATCCCTCCTGGTTTGGTTGGAGGCCGTGCCAAAACTGGTTGGCAAAGGGGGCGCTACTACTGGTTTATGAAATGTGTTATTATCGATTAGGTCTTATGTAAGTTTGTGCATGGTCAGAAATCTCTTAGGACAGAGGAGGCTGAACCTTGTTAATTTTTAATAAATGTGTCAGCTGACTCTCTTCCATCTCCTGATAAAGATGAACTTTCTGCCAGACTGCACCAGAAGACGTTCATAGTAAGTACAGACCTCCACTGAAATGTGCTGAATGTTCTATATAAATTACAACGACTGAACTTGAAGTGACATTTGGAATTAGTTTAGTTTAGAGAATAATTGTTTAAAATGTGGAGACAAAATGTGTGTGGCATTTAAAGTGTAAAGCTGTTGATATTAAACCATTAGTGTGTCCTGCTAAAAAAGTACTGAGTTTTAAATTACTGCTGGCTTTATCCTTTTCATCTGCAATGTTATAGCCTATACAGTGTTTTAAAAGGGCTCCTGTCATTTAATTGTAATATTGTTTGCTCTGTTTTATTCTTGCTTATGATGTTATATATTATCAAATACAATATTGAACTAACAATTCCCATTCGTATGGACAGGCTGTAAAGATGCGTGGGATCTTTTGTGCACTCGCAGCAGTGCTGCTGGCTGCAGCCTGGGCAGACCACCAACACCAGCATGGCCCTGATCACAGCCACGAGGGAGAGCTGAGCTACCAGCTGTCGTCTCCCAATGCTGACTTTGCCTTTGCCCTCTACAAAAGTCTGAATGCCAACACTGCTGCTGGAAAGAACATCTTCTACTCGCCACTGGGCATCTCCACCGCCCTATCCATGCTGTCTACAGGGGCCGGTGGTGAAACCCACAGCCAGCTGTTCTCCAGCTTGGGCTACAGCACCTTAAACCATACTCAGGTCAATGAAGCGTACGAACATCTTTTCCACATGTCTGGACACAGCCAGGAGGATCAGCGGCTGGATGTTGGTAACGCCGTGGCCCAGCGCTCTGGCTTCACTCCTCTGGAGAAGTTCCTGAACGACTGTGATTGCGTTGTGTAGTTTACCAACAGGCAAAGACACAAACTCACCACATGTAAATGATGTGAACATGAAGCATGATGATTGTACATCATATTTCAGCATTTAAAAACAAACAGTAATTTGACAATTAATCACTCAAAGCAGTATTTTCCTGCATCAGCAAATAAGCACTTGTAGCTAACATTAGCCAGCTAAAACAACAATATCACAATATATTTCATGTCAGTGTTGCCTCTAATGTGATGATTTTCTTTTTGGCGCTAAAATTTTGACATGGNCGCGAGGGTTGATATGGTAAAAGCAGGTCAGATAAATAAGAAGGCCCAAGACCGTTAAGACATTTAAAAACTAATAAAAGAACCTTAAAATCGATCCTGAAGCGCACAGGGAGCCAATGCAGCAATTTTAAAACTGGTGTAATGTGCTCCCACCCTCTGGTCCTTGTCAGCACTTGTGCAGCTGAATTCTGTAATAACTGTAGATTTGAGATACTTTTTTGGGAAGACCAGAGAGCAGGGCATTACAATAATCTAACCTACAGGAGATAAAAACATGCATCAGCACCTCCGTGCTGGCCTGAGAGAGAAACGGGCGGACTCTGGCTATATTCTTCAGGTGATAGAAACCTACCTTTGTTATGTTTTTAATATGTGGAAAAAAACAGAGCTCAGAGTCAAAAATCACACCCAGATTTTTCACAGATTGTTTTAGTTTAAAATCCTGTAGTTTTGGTAAAAGTTTCTCTCTCTGGCCCTCAGGACCAATTACTAAAACCTCTGTTTTGTCCTAGTTGAGCTGCAGGAAATTCGCTGCCATCCATGACTTTATGTCTAAAATGCAGTTAAAAAGGGTATCAATTGGCCCTGCGTCATCAGGAGACACGGCGATGTACAGTTGCGTATCATCAGCATAAAAGCTCAGGTAAAAGCAATGATCCAGGTGTGTTGACAGTTAAAATCTGTTGAGATAAAAGACTGGATCTGATGTCACTGATTTTACTTCTGAAGTGGTCTGCAAAGTCCTCACAAAGGGCATTGGTTGTTGTCTTAGGTGATCTGTTAAAATTACTGTTTGTTAAAATATCAATTGTGGAGAAGAGGAATTTGGGATTGTTTTTATTGTCAGAGATTAGTTTTTTGAAGTTGGAAATTCTTGCCTGTTTGACTGCGTTATTGTAGGTTTTGAGATGTTGACGTATTATTTCGTAGTGGACTGTCAGTTTTGATTTTCTCCATCTCCTCTCAGCACTCCTGCAGTATCTTTTCAGTTGTTTGATTTCCTGATTTCTCCACAGGGGTGTAAGTTTTGTTCTAATTGTTTTGATTAAAAGTGGAGCCACTGAGTCCAGCGTTGACTTGAGTTTGTTGTTAAAATTGTCCACAATAAAATCACAGGTTGCTGGTAAAATCTCTGCAGGAGTGCTCTATAAAATCTGGATAAAATTTACAGCCACTTCAGAAGTTAGGTAGCGTTTCCTCACTGTTCTCAGCGGGGCCTCCTGTTGGTTAAAACTGGTGATGTTAAAAAACACACAAAAGTGGTCGGACACAGCCAGATCCACAACAGAGGACACACCCACGGACAGGCCATAGGTTATGACCAGGTCCAGGGTGCGCCCTCTGCTGTGGGTCGGCTGCATGATATGTTGTTTAAAATCCAAAGGCATGATGCTCAAATGATGTGTAACTGCTAAAAGAAACTTCATTTGAGAACATTATGGTTTTTGCTATTGATGCGGTTCCGCCTCCTCTTTTACCTCCCCTAATAGAATATAAAAAGTTAAAATGTGGTGGGGAAGCCTTGGTGAAAACAGCAGGTTTCTGTGAGGAGAATACTGTCTAGGTTGTTGTCTAAAATTAAATCATTTATGATAAAAGATTTGTTTAAAAGGGAGCGCACGTTCAGCACTGCCATTTTAATGTTTGTGCTGAACGTGCGCTCATCATGATGTTTCAAAGGGATGTTAAAAACACGGTTAGGTCTAAAAACATTCCTGGGTTTCAACTTTCTCAGTGTAATGATGGTCTTTATGGTGTGAATGTCCTGTGTTTCCGGTTACAGAGAAGGTGCTACTGAGGGAGAAGTGTGTGTGGTGCAACGTGTAGTGGAGGAGGGTGGAGGTGGGTGAGGGGTGGAGGGTCTGCGTGTGTGAACAGTGAGTCAGGAGGTGGCTGTGGTGCAGGATCGGACGGTCAGGTCAGTGTTAACTGATAAAAGCCGTGATCCCTCCTGGTTTGGTTGGAGGCCGTGCCAAAACTGGTTGGCAAAGGGGGCGCTACTACTGGTTTATGAAATGTGTTATTATCGATTAGGTCTTATGTAAGTTTGTGCATGGTCAGAAATCTCTTAGGACAGAGGAGGCTGAACCTTGTTAATTTTTAATAAATGTGTCAGCTGACTCTCTTCCATCTCCTGATAAAGATGAACTTTCTACCAGACTGCACCAGAAGACGTTCATAGTAAGTACAGACCTCCACTGAAATGTGCTGAATGTTCTATATAAATTACAACGACTGAACTTGAAGTGACATTTGGAATTAGTTTAGTTTAGAGAATAATTGTTTAAAATGTGGAGACAAAATGTGTGTGGCATTTAAAGTGTAAAGCTGTTGATATTAAACCATTAGTGTGTCCTGCTAAAAAAGTACTGAGTTTTAAATTACTGCTGGCTTTATCCTTTTCATCTGCAATGTTATAGCCTATACAGTGTTTTAAAAGGGCTCCTGTCATTTAATTGTAATATTGTTTGCTCTGTTTTATTCTTGCTTATGATGTTATATATTATCAAATACAATATTGAACTAACAATTCCCATTCGTATGGACAGGCTGTAAAGATGCGTGGGATCTTTTGTGCACTCGCAGCAGTGCTGCTGGCTGCAGCCTGGGCAGACCACCAACACCAGCATGGCCCTGATCACAGCCACGAGGGAGAGCTGAGCTACCAGCTGTCGTCTCCCAATGCTGACTTTGCCTTTGCCCTCTACAAAAGTCTGAATGCCAACACTGCTGCTGGAAAGAACATCTTCTACTCGCCACTGGGCATCTCCACCGCCCTATCCATGCTGTCTACAGGGGCCGGTGGTGAAACCCACAGCCAGCTGTTCTCCAGCTTGGGCTACAGCACCTTAAACCATACTCAGGTCAATGAAGCGTACGAACATCTTTTCCACATGTCTGGACACAGCCAGGAGGATCAGCGGCTGGATGTTGGTAACGCCGTGGCCCAGCGCTCTGGCTTCACTCCTCTGGAGAAGTTCCTGAACGACTGTGATTGCGTTGTGTAGTTTACCAACAGGCAAAGACACAAACTCACCACATGTAAATGATGTGAACATGAAGCATGATGATTGTACATCATATTTCAGCATTTAAAAACAAACAGTAATTTGACAATTAATCACTCAAAGCAGTATTTTCCTGCATCAGCAAATAAGCACTTGTAGCTAACATTAGCCAGCTAAAACAACAATATCACAATATATTTCATGTCAGTGTTGCCTCTAATGTGATGATTTTCTTTTTGGCGCTAAAATTTTGACATGGGACACTGAATTTGATGGATTTACTGTTTTACAGTTCATCAGGCCCCAAAATGAGTAAAGACAAGTGACTGATAGCAGCTCAGACTTTAGCCCTTGTTGCAACTTGAATTGAACCAGTGCCAACCCAAACCCTGAGACTGCAGTGGTCTAACCCTTGTAACAACAGCAACAGAATCATTGTTGATCTGGCGGGGACTCTGGGCAGTCGAGAGGATGGTCTAAGATTAGACCCCTGATGCTTGATCTTGTTCTGGCTGATTTGAGTTGTTACAGGTTGTTAAGTGAATCTCCATCGCTGCTGTGCCACTGTTGTTAAATGTATATAAAGCAGTTTTCTCATATGAACTCTGATATGAATTCTGAGAATCAAGTGCAGACATTGTCCAGAGTTTCTCTTTCACACATGTAGGACACAACAGGAGATTATCTGTGTCAGAAGTGTCATTACTGACAGGAAATACTACATTTGGAGAGTACAAGAGGCAGGACATGACACAGATTACACCACAGTCCTGTGGCCGGTTCATAATTTGGTCATAAACAGCACTCTCTTGCTGCTCCGTTAATTTGATGATTTTGGCGCTAGCCCTTACCGACAGAATTTCACGAATCTCATCATCTCTCCAGCTAGACATTTTCGTTGCAGTCTTCGTGTAAATGATCCTTCTTCTTCTTCACTCTAGGATGTTTGTTTTCTTCTGATTTAGTTTGAGTCTCATGTTAGAATCATCAACAACATGCCCACTCACTCGCTTTGAATTCTCTGGACATTTACCTGCTCTGACAAGTTCTTGGATGAAATTAGTATCTGGTTCAGATAATGTACTTTTTACAAGTCTGAGTGTCATCTGACTGAAATGTGTCAATATCCATACTCATGATGAAGGTAAACTATGAGTTGTGGTGGGTGCTGGTGGTTGTTGACATTAGTGGATTCCATTTGATACATAACATTAACTAGTGTTGCTCACTGTTAGCACTAGAGCAGGGCTGAAGGCACTTGGGAGTGCACAGAATGTCACATCCTTTAGATTTTCCTGGAAAATACACCCCAAGTCTGTTAATTTACAGGTTGTTGTAGGCAACTGAAAAAGTGGGAAAAGGTCTCAGCTTTCGTTCACCCATTGGGAATAAAAAAAGAGTGAAGAAAAAAGTTCTTTGACAAGCTGTAACTTATCTGTATATTCCAGTGATCGTGACCCTGGTGATGTTTTGTGTTTCTTAGATACGTGGATCTGTTCCTGCCAAAGTTTTCCATCTCTGCTGATACTTCCCTGAAAAACACACACGCTTTTAGGGTCAACGCTGATTTCTCTGGCATGTCTGAAGAGGTCAAGCTCAAAGTCTCAAAGGTAAGAGTGACAAATATTTCTTCTTGGGTTCATTTTGGGAATTCAAGCACTAACAAACAACATGGGAATATGTCAACTCCACTGCATGGGCAGTAGTTCAGGAACGCCTGCAGAATACAAAGACATACAGTATACCTCAAGAGGACTGAAAAATACCCCGGAGCTTCTAATTATTTGTTTAGATCTGAGCCTTGTTTCAGACTATCTCTGACTCTGACAGTGAGAATTGACAGACCCTTCTTGGTCTTCACCCTGGAGAGCTCCACCAAGAGCATCCTCTTCATGGGCAAGATCAACAACCCCACAGCCATGTAAAGATGAGAACGAGGAAATGAGTATCATGGTCACAACTGTCAACAGTTAATCAACAATGATAAGAAGCTGTTGGAGTTGTTCTTTGTTGTTTCACTTCTTTAGAGACAATTGAAAGAAAGTGATTTCATACTATCCAGCTGACTATTGTATAACACAGTTAATAAAAACATTGGTGTGTGTATTGCACTTGGAGCATCTGCTAACACATTTAGCTCACTTGGGTGGTGTTGTGCTAAATCAAGCAAAATAAAGTTTAATCACTGAAAACTGGCGTTGTATATATTGTTTAAATCTCTCAATGTTTAATCATTATTACCATTCTAGAACATGCGCTTCAACTAGTAGCAGCAAAGTCTGGTAGCTCTGCAATTTTACTTAGTTTTACTGATTTTTTTTATTATATTTTTCTCAACTACTAATGGATACTTCTGTGAAGAGAAGAGTTTATTCAAGAGAGGAGCTTTTTTCATTGAAACAGATCAAGTCTGGAGGACACCATCCTATTCCAGCCGAGATGAAGAGGTGTTTTCGTGGTTGCCGTGCTGGTGCAAAGGTGAAGGCTTAGAAATGGAGATATAAGCCCTTTCTGCCATCAGTCATCATGGGAAATGTCAACTCTCTGCCCAACAAGAGTGATGAACTGGAGATATTGGTGAAAACTCAGAAAGTATACCGTGAGTGCAGTCTCGTGTTTTACGGAAACGTGGTTGAATCAAAACATCTCAGACTCCAACGTGGATCTACCTGGCTTCACTCTCATACAATCGGACAGAGACTCTAAAGCTAGTGGCAAGAAAAAAGGTGGGGGCCTGGCTTTATTTGTGAACCAGAGATGGTGCAGTCCTGCACATATTACTGTCAAGGAGAAGATGTGTTGTCCAGATATTGAACTTTTGGCAGTTGGTATGAGGCCATATTATGTACCAAGAGAATTCAGTCATATCATAACAATACTTGTGTACATCCCACCCAAGGCAACTGCTGAAGTTCTATGTGAAGTTCTCCATGAACTCGTTGCTAAGATACAGACTAAACATCCTGAGGCACTATTGATAATATCAGGAGACTTCAACCATGTTTCCCTCTCCTCTCACCTGACTGGATTTACACAGTTTGTTAACTGTCCAACCAGAGAAAATAAAACCCTTGATCTGCTGTATGCCAGTGTCAGAGAAGCTTACAGAGCCACTGCCTTACCACCACTGGGCAGGTCAGATCACAACTTGGTTCTTCTGCAGACATGTTACAAACCCCGTGTGTGGAGGCAGCCTGCAACTAAACTCACAGTCAGGAAATGGACACCAGAGGCTACTGAGGCTCTAAGAGACTGCTTTGAATGCAAAGACTGGGATGTGCTGCTGGAAACAGAGGAGAACATCATGGACATTGATAGACAGGTTGACTGTTTTACTGATTACATCAACTTCTGTAGAGACACAGTCATACCTACAAAGACTGTACGCTGTTTCCACAATAACAAACCTTGGATTACCAGTGACATAAAGGCAATCCTCAATAAGAAGGAGGCAGCTTTTAGAGATGGTGACAAAGCACGGCTCAAACAAGTGCAACATGAGTTGAAGAAGAGACTTAAGATGGCAAAGGTGGGGCGTCGGTAGCATAGTGGATAGTACCGGCGGTACTCCGGCTTGCAACCCTTTGCTGCATGTCAACCCCCACTCTCTCTCTCTCTCTCTCTCTCTCTCTCTATCTCTCACCCCATTTCAATCTGTCCTGTCCATTCAAGGCAAAAAGCCCAAAAAATAATCTTTAAAAAAAAAAAAAAGATGGCAAAGGTGGAATATAAAAAGAAACTGGAGAGGAATCTACAACACAGCAACATCCGTGAAATGTGGAGAGGAGTCAACACCATCTCTGGTTACAACAACAAGAAAAGACAGCCAGTGGTGGGTGATGCAGAAAGAGCTGATGAACTCAATCAGTTCTTCAATAGATTCAATACGGCAGCTACTCCCACTTCCAATGCTGCTCCTCCTCCTCCTCCTCCTCCTCCTCCATCACCTCCACCTCCACAACTTGTGTACAATTCCAATGTGGCAGCCACCCCCCCTCTTACAACTGTGCCTCCACCCTTGTCTGTTACAGAGATGGGGGTGAGGTTGGAGCTGGGAAGATTTTGCTCTGGGAAGGCTGCTGGCCCAGATGGTGTGTGTCCAAGGCTCCTCAAAGACTGTGCTGCCCAACTATGTCAACCTCTCCACAAGATCTTCAACCTCAGTCTACAGTTGGGGCGGGTGCCGGCACTGTGGAAGACTTCCTGTGTTGTGCCGGTACCAAAAATTAAATGTCCAGCTGAACTTAATGACTTCAGACCAGTAGCCCTCACTTCGCACATCATGAAGACCTTGGAGCGGCTGATTCTACGCCTACTGAGACTTGAGGTCAAAGACAAACTCGACCCCCTGCAGTTTGCATACAAACAACACATTGGAGTGAACGATGCTGTCCTTTACATGCTTCACTGTGCCCTAGCTCATCTGGAGGAACCTGGCGCTTATGTGAGAATCATGTTCTTTGATTTTTCAAGGGCATTCAACACCATCCAACCCAACATACTCAAAGACAAGCTCACAGAGATGTGGGTCCTTCCTTTATCTCCTGGATCACAGATTACCTGACAGGAAGGCCACAGTATGTCAGTTTGGGGAACTGTGTTTCTGGGACATTAATGGGGGGCTCCACAAGGGACTGTCCTGGCTCCATTCCTGTTCACACTGTACACGGCGGACTTCAAATACAACTCTGAGTCCTGCTACATCCAGAAATACTCGGACGACACTGCTATTGTGGCGTGTATCAGGAATGGGCAGGAGTCTGAATATAGGGACCTGATAAAAGCCTTCAGTGACTGGAGTCACAAGAACTGTCTCCTCCTGACCACCTCAAAGACCAAGGAAATGATCATAGATTTCTGCAGGTCCAAGCCCCCTCCTCAGCCAGTAAATACCTGTGGGGTGGACATCGAGGTGGTGCCAAGCTATAAGTATCTAGGTGCACACCTGGATAATAAGCTGGACTGGTCCCTAAACACAGATGCTCGCTAAAAAAAGGGGCAGAGCCGCCTCTTCTTCTTGAGGAAGCTCAGATCTCTCGACATCTGTAGTAAGATGCTGCAGATGTTTTATCAGTCTGTGGTGACACGTGTGTTGTTTTATGCTGCAGTCTGCTGGGGAGGAAGCATCAGACACAAAGATGCAAGGCGGCTGGACAAACTAGTCAAAAGAGCCGGGTCTGTGATTGGAGTCAGGTTGGACACACTGGAGGAGGTGGTGGAGAAATGCACACTGAAGATGTTCGAGGCCATCATGAACAACCCAGATCCACTCCACAACACCTTGATGGACCAAAAAAACTGTGGTGGACGGCTCCTCTCTCTTTGATGCAGGACAGAGAGATACAGAAGATTCTATATACCAACAGCCATCAGGCTTTATAATTCTTTGACATATAATAGATGAGCTGACAGATAATTGAATTTCCCCTTGGGGATGAATAAAGTTATTCTTATTCTTATTAAGA